CCCCAAAACCCCAAAACCCCAAAACCCCATATGATAGTATAGTATAGTATAGTATAATATGATATGTAGTTAAAGAAATAATGAGGGGTTTATGATTATTCAACTAAGTAAAAGTAAAATAGTCCTATAATTACAGATAGAATTCAACTATTATAGGCAGGCAAAACTTTTTATCATTGAATAATCTGCTAAGTTTCTTTCGAGAGTGTTTCATGAGGATTAGCTGCTTGCTTTTCTAATTTCCAGCTATTTTTTCCAAGGTATTTAAAGCACCTCTCAATTTGTTTTTCAGTTTGAGCCCTTTTTCTGCAAGCAAAGAATGCTTCATAGTCTGGATGTTGGTTATAGTAATTCCAATCATGAGCAGGCTTTTCTTATTCAGTTTAGGTCTCAAAAATTGCTTGCATAAGCAATGGTTTATCGTTTAGATCTTCAATTCTTGAATCAATATAGGCCAAGCATTTAGTGACACACTTTGAGTTATCATGGCATATTTCATGACAATAATGGCTTTCCTTCACTTTGGTATTAGTTTCTTATGAATTTTCTGGAATAGATCTCTTATTCTTTTCTTCTTATTCTTAAACTTCAATTTGAATCGATTTTTCAATTGAATCGTTATGATCATTCTTGGAGTCTTATTTCTCCCTTTCATCTACTTTTTTCTTTTTGGATTCCTTCAAAAGCAGGCTTTGTGAAATATGCTAGTTATTTTCTTTATCTTTAATTGAGTTAAAGGAACTCATCAGAGTTAAAGTGCATTCTTAATTGCATTTCTCATCTCTGCAATCTTTTTCACATTTATTGTATTTTTCCATTACTTAGCCTATCTGTTACATCCCTTTATTCAGTTTATTGAGTTCTTTTTAAGCCGTCAGTTAAGATGGTGATTTGCTTAGTACTCCAAATGAATACTGATCTGGCTTATATTGAGAATTTAAATCTAATTCAGATAGTTAAATCTGATTTAGGTGATCATTTTGTGTACTCAAGCCAAGAAATTTACTTTTGGCCTCAACAGATTAGAGAGAATTAAGGCAGATGATGGATGTTGAAATAAGAAGTGCTTTAGATAACATTAGAATTAGAGTCTTTATTTATTTAAATTTACTATTTAAATCTGTTTGTCAACCTGAATTATTTGTATTTAAGATTTATTTAATATTTATTCATAATAAATACCCTATATTTATACCATTTAGCTACTATTGGGGTTTTGGGGTTTTGGGG